CAGAGATCTTTCCCATGATCCGACCTGCCCTTGCCGCCCCCTGCTCTAGAAACTTCTGTGGCTCCCTATGACCCACAGATCTGGCAGGCGGACCCTTGCCAACCTGTCCAGCTGCATCTCTTATCCCCGGCCACTCTCCCCGCCCCGCCACCGCGTTCTACCCTCTAGCCTCATTCTTTTTGACACTCTGTTCCTTTCGCCTGGACGAGTGCTTCCGTAGCTTTGCCTGCCCGAACACTATTCACCTCTCAGGCCTTGGCTTAGACATCACCTCCTCCTAGAAGCCTTCTAGGACTACTGTCACCCACCTGGGTCTGGCCCCTCCTAGGGGCCTCACCTTGCCTCTGCACCCCCGTGCAGGTAGAGCCCTGATAACCCTCTACCTTATCCACCTGCCCACTGTCACCTACTCATCCCCAGACACAGGAGGCCCAGGGCCCATGACACTTTTAGGGAGAAACAGAAGAAATGTTTTCATTTTAATTTTTCTTGAAATCAGAAGAAAAAAATGACACCAATAACAATGACTATATAATAACGAACTCACCTGAGAGCATATAGGCGCCCCACAACTTACGATAGGGCTACATCCAAGTAAACTCATCATAAGTCAAAAATATCGTCAAATTGGCCGGGCGCAGTGCCTCATGTCCGTAATCCTTGCACTCTGGGAGGCTGAGGCAGGAGGACGGCTTGACGTCAGGAGTTCTAGACCAGCCTGAGCAAGAACAAGACCCCGTGTCTACTAAAAATAGAAAAATTAGCTGGGCTTAGTGGTTGGCGCATGCCTGTAGTCCCAGCAACAAGGGAGGCTGAGGCAGGAGGATCGTTTGAGCCCAGGAGGTGGAGCTTGCTGTGAGCTACAATGATGCCACTACATTCTAGCCCAGGCAATAAAGCGAGACTCTATCGCCAAAAAAAGTTTTTAAAACTCGCAAGTCAAAAATGCATTCCAGGCCGGGCGCGGTGGCTCACGCCTGTAATCCCAGCACTCTGGGAGGCCGAGGCGGCGGATCACTCAAGGTCAGGAGTTCGAAACCAGCCTGAGCAAGAGCAAGACCCCGTCTCTACTATAAATAGAAAGAAATTAATTGGCCAACTAATATATATAGAAAAAATTAGCCGGGTATGGTGGCGCATGCCTGTAGTCCCAGCTACTCGGGAGGCTGAGGCAGGAGGATCGCTCGAGCCCAGGAGTTGGAGGTTGCTGTGAGCGAGGCTGACGCCACGGCACTCACTCTAGCCTGGGCAACACAGTGAGACTCTGTCTCAAAAAAAAAAAAAAAAATTGCTAAGCTGGACGGTCGTCGGTCGGGCATGTCTGCATTTGTCTCTATGCCAACGCGACTGTGAAAGTTTGTTTTCAGTGCTTTTTCTCGTGGAGGCGGAGGCCCACAGGGGCAAAAGAGCCTCGGACCCTCAGACGTGCTCATGCGACTCTCCGCCCTGTGTCTGTCTCTCGCAGGGACTGAGAGTTCTGGGCAGGCCGAGGTCGAGGCTGGTCCCCAGGACTGCCTTGCACAGGCCCTGCACACAGCAGGTTGTTAATGGTTGCTCATTGAATGAATATCCAGTGACTCACTGGGTAGTGATGGGATAGTGCTGTGCAATAGAACTTTCTGTGATGTTGGGAATGTTCTAGAATTCTGTGCCACCCAATATGCTGGCCTCACGCATGAGGCTCACACATGAGAGGACATCGGACGGACAGACGGAGGAAAAGGTCAGAGGGCAGAGGAAGGGACACCTGGACCGGGGAGGGATGGATCTGGGACCAGCAGTGCCCCCTTGTGGCCCAGACCTCCCCTGCCGCCCTCCTACTCTCAGCAGAAAAGAACAGGGGAGTTTTCAGGGCCCTTAAATTGGGAGCAGGCGGAGGTAAGAAAAGGAGAAGGAGGAGGAGGCAATAAAAGGAGAAGGAGGAGGAGGCAATCTCAAAAACAAAGACCTTGAAGATGGACGACTCCAGGTTCAAACCCCGTGGCCGGCGACGTTTGGCTGTGTGACCCGGGGCAAGTTACTCTGCCTCTCTGATCTTTAGTTTCCTCATCCAGAAAATGGGAGAGAGCCAGGCCGCTGAATAATGACCTGAATAATGACACAGCTCAGAAAACAGCAGCTATTTCTTACCTCCCACCCTGGGACTTTGGGAGGCAAGGGTGGGGGCGTGTTGCCCCCATGGAACCTCACCTCCACCCGAGAGGCCGGGAGGAGACAGGGCCTCCATGAAGACTAAGCAGGGGCAGAGAAAGAGACATGGGCGTGGGGTGGGGCTGTCCAATTCCGCACAAAAACAAAACAAAATAAAGAGAATGCCCCAAGGAAACCTGGATTTCAGATGGACAACGAACCATTTTTGAATATGAGTATATCCCAAACATGTCGTGGGATATACTCATACCAAAGTCCAATGGGCTCGACGTGGACCCAAAAGTCAAGTTTAGCTGGGCGTCCTGTATTTTAATCCGCCAATCCTCGTCTGGCGGACGCTGGGCGGGGTAGGGGCAGGCAGGTAAAGTTTCTGGACGGAGGGGGCGGTGGAGGGAGCCCGGGCAGAACCCAGGACTCTTCCTTCCCCGCCCCCGCCCACACTGGCGCATGCGCAGCATCAAATGCCCTTGGCCATGCTCCTAGGTCGCCAGAGCAGCGGGCGAGCATACCTGGGTGCTGTGCTTGTCCTTGCCTTGGGCCGCCCACCCCACCCCCTGCCCAGCCTGCTGCTGCTCTCTCTCCACCTCTTCCCACCTTCCCCGATCCCACGCCTGCCTCCCCGGCCCTTTGTGGGGCGGAAGCACCAGCACTTTCTTTTCCAAATCACAATCAGGTTACATCCCCTAGACTAGAGCTATTTGGGCACTGAAGGCCACTTGGAAGTTGAAGGTCACCAGGCACATCTCCCAGGGACCTCAGAGCTGTGTGCCCTGGGTGGGTCACGTCATCTCTCAGCCACCTCGCCCTGTCCCCTCCTGCTTCTCTCCCCTCCTCACTCTGCGCCAGCCACACGGGCCTCCTCGCTGCGCCTCCGACATGCCAGGCGCGTCCTGCCCCAGGGCCTTTGCACGGGCTGTGCCCTCTCTCAGGATCACTCTTCCCATGTCTCCATGGCCCGCTCCTTGCCTCCTTCACTTCTGTGCTCAAATGTCCCTTAGAAAGGCCTCCCCTGGCCACCCTATTAAAAACTGCAGCCCCCACATTTTGTAATCCAGTATCTTCCTTTGCTTTTCTGCCACTCCACCAATAGGTAGAAGGTTCGCTCACCTATGTTGCACATCATTAACATGATCTCTCCCGCTGGGCGGTGAGTATGCAAGAGCAGTCTGCTTTGCTCACTTCCGGTGCCCCTGCACCCAGCACGGGGACTCAATAAACATGCTCGAATGAACGAACAAGCAGGAAAGGGCACATGCAGCAAAAGTCGTGACATTGTTACCTGTTTACAGTTTATGGCTTTAGCCGTTTTGGGGTCTCGGACTCCCTTGTGCATCTGTCCGGCTGCACGTGGTCCCTTATATTTAAACATTCAGTGTCTAGCATGCGAAGCCAGCGGGTGCTAGGGGCCAGCATATTGGGTGGCACAGAATTCTAGAACATTCCCAACATCACAGAGAGTTCTATTGCATACGCTAGTGTAGACCTTGTCAAAATAAAAGCACTTAGTCACAGGCAACCAATTTTGTCCATGTTTTCTCTAGAAGTTCCAGAAGCCTCACCCCCAATTCAGATAATTTAGCAGAGGCTGCGACCTGGTGGCCCCGGGGCCGGATACCGCCCCGGTTGGGTTTTATTTGGTCAAAACGCTTCCTGAGAGGCAGGACACTTCAAAGGGCTGAAATTCCTGTGCATCTGCGAATCCCCAGGTGGGTCTCCCACCGGGCACTGCTCTGCCCCACCCCTCTGGGCAGGACAGGTGCCACCTCTCAACAGAGACCTCCTGCCTGGCTCCTGGAGCCATCCAAGATTGAGGTTTTGGGTTTACAGACCATTATTTGGGGAGGGGAGAACCCAAGTGGAGGCCGGGTGCAGTGGTGGCTCGCGCCTGTAATCCCAGCACTTTGGTAGGCAGAGGTGGGAGGATAGCTTGAGGCCAGGAGTTCGAGACCAGCCTGGGCAACACACACCCCGTCTGCACAAAAAATAAGGGAAATTAGTCAGGCATGGCAGCGAACGTCCCAGCTACTTAGGAGGATCGCGTGAGCCCAGAAGTTGGAGGTTGCAGTGAGCCATGGTGATGCCACTGCACTCTAGCCTGGGTGACAGAGCGAGGCTCTGCCTCCAAACAAAAAGGAAAGAACCAAGCGGAGCTGCGTCAGGAAGAGGCTGATCCAGGAGCCAGAGAGCCTGCGGGATTGGCCCTTGTCTGGCGCTGAATGACCCTCTGTGGACCCCAGATTCCACACCTGTAAAATGGGCCTGACAAAGGGACAACCTAGTGTTGGGAGGATTGAGTGTCGCGATGCTGGGCAGGGCAGGCGCAAAGTCTCAATAGGTGGTTCACGTCGCTTGTACCGCTGGTGGGCTGGGCAACCATCACTGGGGTCTTCCAGCCTCAGTTTGGCCACCGGAGAAATGGGGGGCCCGGATCGCAGTCACGTCCCCAGCTGAGTTCGCAGCGCCCCAGCTGGGGAGGGGCGTCCCAAGGCTGGCGCAGGCGTGGTCCGGGACAGGGCGCACGCTGCTTCTCGGACCTGGGTAAGTGGCCAAGGGGCGGGGCCGGCTGGGGACGCCCCCCGACCCTATTGGGCCTCTGGCCCGTCACTCCCCGATGCCCAGCCCCTCCACCGAGGTAAGAGCCCGCCCCACCCCGGCCTGGACGGCTTCAGAGCTGGCCGGGGAGTCGTGGCGGCCGCGCCCCGGACGTCCCGCTGGCCGTGGTGAGAGGCGGGGGCGCCCCGACTGAGCTGGGGGGCGGGGTCCCCCAAGCCCGGGGGCGCCCCAAAGGCGAAGGGAGCGGGGAGGGCCTTTCTCGGGAGAGGGCGGTGCTTGGCCGCGCTCTGCGGCTTGGGGAGGGGTCTCCGGCCGGCGCCGGGCACCCCTTCCGCCTTCCCCCCAAAACCTGGCTTCTGCCGCGGGCTCTGACTCTCGGACTCCCGTCCCGCGTCCTGGGACTTTGCTGAGCCCTCTGCCGCGGGGCGGGCTCGGTCCCCGCCCACCCCCAGATACTCCGCACGGCCAGAAGTGCGCTCGCTTTTGCACACGCAGTTTGCGCGCGAACTTCCTCGGCATTCGCCCCTCCCGGGGACTTCGGAGACACCGCCCCACGGTTTGGCCACCTGGGGGCTTGTCCAGGCTGCTGGCCCCGCAGCTGACTGGGGGGGAGGTGTCAAATCCCGCCCCCTTCCCTTGGGCGGGTGTGGCCGCGGGATCGCACACACACGTAGGAAGGCCGGGGACCTCAGCCTCTCGGAAGTTTGGAAGTGGCGTCTCTGTGCCCGGGCAGCTGCCGGGTGGCCGAGTGTCCCCGGCCCGGAGCGGCCCCCGCCTCCGGGCTTTGCTCAGTGTCTGGTTAGGAAGTGGAGGGGCGGGTCGCGCGCGCCAGCTAGCTCTCGCTCTGGCCTCGGAGCCAGCTGCAGGCGGGTCGCTGGCCGCAAGGGCTTCAATAGGGGCTGACATCTGCAGAGGCCGCCCTTGGTTGAGCCAGCGCCAGGGGGATTGGTGGCCAGAGGGCATGAGACCTAAGCGAGGCTTGAGAGAACCCACCGAGGCTGGGACTGGGTTGCCTGCCTACGCAGCCCCTGCCCAGGTGAGGGGAATAAGAGTTCTGGCAGTGGTCACCGGGAGTTAGGTGTGTCTCCTCGCCTGACCTCCCGGTTGGGGGACTTTTGTAACAAGCAGGACGCTCCTTCCTGGCTGGCTTCACCCCTTTGCACGGAGAAGCCCGAGTGGGGTGAGACGGTTCTGTTCATTGAGCACCTGCTATGCTCCACAGCCTGCCAAGCTCCTCACTGCAGCATGCCCTCCAGTCCCCAGGGGCTCTGAGCTAATATGAAATGGTTATACCCATTTCACAGATGTGGCAAGTGAGGCTCCCCCTCGGCTGCTTCCTTCCCATGCTCCTACTGCTAGGAAGTTGCAAAGCTGGGGCTTAAAACCAGGCCTGGACTCCTGATCCAGTGCTCCCCAAACACCCTTTGGCTGGGTTCTGCTTAGGCAATACCTTTAGCCTCATTGTACAGCTGGGATGACTGAGGCTGGCGGAGAGGGAGCACCTTGCTCAACCTCACATAGCAGGGGCAGAGCTGGGACTCCTGGCTTCCCTCCGGGAATGCGGTGTGGTGATACCAGGCCTGTCTCATCTCACCTGGCCAGGTAAACAGAGCACACACAGGTGTGGGGGCAGGCATGCTCTCCCCACCTTGTTTTCAAAGCCTAACCTTTTTTCTTCTTTTGGAGACAAAGTCTCACTGTGTCCCCCAGGCTGGAGTGCCGTGGCATCGTCACAGCTCACTGTAATCTCCGACTCCTGGGCTCAAGTGATCCTCCTGCCTCAGCCTCCCGAGAAGCTGGGCCTATAGGTGCAGCCACCACGCCTGGCTAATTTTCCTGTTTTTAGTAGAGACAGGGTCTCACTCTTGCTCAGGCTGGTCTCAAACTCCTGACCTCAAGGGATCCTCCCGCCTCGGCCTCCCAGAGTGCTGGGATCGCAGGTGGCAGTGCAGGGGTGGCATCTTCCTGGAACTGAGGTTTCTGGGGCAAAGAGAAGATAGGTTTTGAAACCCGGCAGCTACTGGCAGATTGCCCCGGGTAAAAGTTTGGGACCGTACCCGCTTTCCGGGAGGACAGGCCATACAGGTGAGCCCTTGAGGGGCTGCTTCCAAACCTGCTCCCCAAGGCGTGGCCTGGGGACAAGCTGCCAGGCCACCACCACCTGGGGGCGTGTCAGAAATGCAGAGACAGGTCGCACCCACCCCAGACCTGCTGACGGGGCACCTGCCGTGGGACAGGGTCCACAGGTGACTCCCCCAGCTCCAGCGTGGCCCGGCCCCGCCCTCCAGGGAAAAGTCCGGGCACGCTGTACCCTGTCTGCTCCCTCCGTTCGCAGTGCCTGCTGCTGAGACCATGTCCGCCAACGAGACAGAGGCCAATGCTGCCGCCCAGGTGACAGCGGAAGAACCGGTGCAGCAGGTGAGGAAGGGCTGGGGCCAGGGGCTGGGATGGCCCCCTGCCCGGTGACGTCAGTACCCTGGGAGGCTGGAGGGGGGTGTTACTGAGCATGGTACGGGTCGCTCACAGGTGCCCCGGGTGGGGCGGGAGGAACGGGAATCTGAAAAGCTCTTGGAGGAGGCCGGGGCAGGAGGATTGCTTGAGGTTGGGAGTTCAAGACCAGCCTGAGCAAGAGTGAGACCCCGTTTCTACCAAAAATAGAAAAATTAGCCGGGCATGGTGGCGCATGCCTGTAGTCCCAGCTACTCGGGAGGCTGAGGCAGGAGGATCGCTTGAGCCCAGGAGTTGGAGGCTGCAGTGAGTTGTGATGATGCCACGGCACTCCAGCCTGGGCAACAGAGCAAGACCCCAATTCAAAAAAAAAAAAAAAATCAAGTGGATTTTTACCTGCCCTGACCCAAACCCAGGCCGGGTTTGGCCCGAGAGCTGTATATAGTTTGCAGCCCATAGTGCTCGGCCCCCAGCTCCGCAAGCATGGGCGCCCCGTCCCCGAGACACGCTCCCTGGAACGGATGAGCCGCAGCTAGAGAAAGGAAGGACGTGGCGGAAGCCCAGAGTTCCTGGCTTGTGCAACCCCCGCACTGCGGGGCCGGGCCGGGCTGGGCCGGGGGTTTCGCCAGCGGGAGCGAGAGCAGAGCCGGGGCGGCCGCGTGTCCGGCCTGGCCCCCCTGAGCCGCCTCCTCCCGCGCAGCCCAGCGTGGCGGGCCGCGTGGCCAGCATGCCCCTGGTCAGCTCCACCTGCGGCATGGTGTCGGCCGCCTACGCCTCCACCAAGGAGAGCCACCCGCACGTCAGGACCGTCTGCGACGCGGCGGAGAAGGGCGTGCGGACGCTGGCGGCCGCCGCGGCGAGCGGGGCCCAGCCCCTGCTGTCCAGGCTCGAGCCCCAAAGTGAGTGAAGCCCCGAGCCGCGGCTCCCCGCCCGGCTCCCCTGCAAATCCGCCCGCGGTGGCCTTCCCCAGGCTCCCGGGCGGTGGGAGTGAGGCGCCCGCCTGTCCTGTCTCCCGCAGTCGCCTCGGCCAGCGGATACGCCCACCGCGGCCTGGACAAGCTGGAGGAGAGCCTGCCCATCCTGCAGCGGCCCTCGGAGCAGGTCAGGGGCGTCCCCGGCCGCGGCCCGCTGTAGAGCGCTGTGGTCAGCCCAGAAGAAGCCCTGTCCCCACCGCCTCCCCCATCCCGACAGCCACTCATTCACCCTGTCCCTGTGGATTTGCGGCTTCTGGGCATTTCACCTAAACGGACTTGTGTGTCCGAGCCCCGTCCCTTTTTAAGGCTAAATAGCATCCCATTGTGGGCCGGGCGCGGTGGCTCACGCCTGTAATCCCAGCACTCTGGGAGGCCGAGGCGGGAGGATCACTCGAGATCAGGAGTTAGAGACCAGCCTGAGCAAGGATGAGACCCAGTCTCTACTAAAAGTAGAAAGAAATTAATCGGCCGGCTAAAAATATATAGAAAAAATTAGCCAGGCATGGTGGCACGTGCCTGTAGTCCCAGCTACTCGGGAGGCCGAGGCAGGAGGATTGCTTGAGCACAGGAGTGGGAGGTTGCTGTGAGCTAGGCTGACGCCACGGCACTCACTCGAGCCCAGGCAACAGAGCGAGACTCCGTGTGGCAGGCCTGGTCGCGTGTGCCCATGCACCTGCCGGTGAGCGCTCAGGTTGTCCCTTCTGGCTGTCGCGGCTCGTGCTGCTGTGGCTGATGGAATTCTATTGTGGCGAAGTGCACAGCGTAGAATTCACCATCTCAAACCTTTTCCAAGCGCACAGCTCGGTGGCGTTAAGCACGTCCACATGGTCGCACAACCGTCACCCCCCTCCATCTCTAAAAACACTCCCAGACAGAGGAACAGAGGCACAGAGAGGTAGAGTGCCTTGCCCGAGGCCACACAGCTCGGAAGCCAGGGATCCAACCCAAGCGTTCTGGCGGCAGCGATCAAGGCTGGGACTGCGACTCAGAGTCACCTGGGGTCCCCCCTTCAGCTTCCTTGGGAACTGGGGTGCAGGGGAGGGTTGCGGGGGGCGGAGGGAGGACGGCGGCTCTGACGCTGCCCCATTGCAGGTCCTGGCGGACGCCAAGGAGCTCGTGTCGTCCGGGGTGTCGGGGGCCCGAGAGATGGTGTCCAGCACGGTGTCCAGTGCCAGGGACACGGTGGCCGCCCGGGTGACGGAGGCGGTGGACATGACCCGCGGCGCCGTGCAGAGCGGCGTGGACAAGACCAAGTCCGCGGTGGCCAGCGGGGTCCACTCCGTGGCGGGCTCCGGCGTGGGCCAGATGGTGCTGGGCGGGGTGGACACGGTGCTGGGCAGGTCGGAGCAGTGGGCGGACAACCACCTGCCCATGACGGACGCCGAGCTGGGTGAGTGCGGCCTGCGGGCCTCTCGGATTCCTGGGTCTGTCACTCTGTTCCTGCCACCTCCCCTCCGGTGCCCTGACCCCCCCAGGCCGTCCTCCCCGCAGCAGCCACCAGAGGGCGCCTGTGAGCACCCGAGTCAGGGCCTGGCCCTCCTCTGTCCGCAGCCCTCCATGGCTCCCGCCTCCCTCCGGGTCAAAGCCCAAGCCCTCCCTGCAGCCCACCAGGCCCTGCACGACCTGCCCTGTCCCCTTCCTGCCCTCCTGTCCTCCCTCTCTCCCCCTTCTCCCTCTGCTCCAGCCACACGGGCCTCCTCGCTGTGCCTCCAAACGCCAGGTGCGCTCCTGCCCCAGGGCCTTTGCACGGGCCGTTTCTTCTATAAGGCTTGTCTGTCCAGCTCAAATGCCACCTCCCCGGCGAGGCCTCTGGTCTCTGCAGTTGCCACCTCCCTCATCCTTATCGTGTCCCGACACCCCTCCTCCCCAGCCCCCGCTCCGTTTTATCTCATCATCGAGTCCCCGAAGCAGAAATTTCTGTCTTGGTCGCCGCTGCCTCCCTGCGTCTAGCACGGGGCCTGGTGCCGAGCAGGTCCTCCAATCCTTGCATAAAATGTCTCAGAAACAGCCTCTCCTCTGGCGCCTGCCCCTTCCCCGCCCGGGCTTCTCCTAGCTGGGGCAAGTGCTCGCGGGCGCGCTGTGTCCTGGGCCATCCTCCAGTTGGTGAGGATGCGTCCTGAACGCGCCCTGCCCTGCAGAACTCCCCGAGCTCAGGGTCCAAAAATCCAGTTAAAGGAAAGGTCTGGGGGTTGGGGGGCAGCTACATTTATAGGAAGGTGATATTTGATTGGAACCGAAAGCACGTGGCCTGTGGCACTGTGCCACTTGTCCTTTGAGCTTTCAACCCCCGATTATTGCGTTTCTACCCAACTCTGAGGTTCCTGGCGGAAGAGACCGGTTGGTCTGTTCCCTGCTGTCCCCGTGTTCCTGGGGGCAGTGGCCGCTGGTCCGGAAGGGGGGCTCAAACCCCGTGTAAGACTCGGCCGTGGGTCTCGGTGTCAAAGGCCGCAGGGCAGGAGGGGTCCTCTAGGAGGAAGGTGTTGACCCAGGTCTGGTAGGATTTCAAGAGGACGGCAAGGGGCCGGGCGCGGCGCCTCACACCTGAAATCCCAGCACTCTGGGAGGCTCAGGAGGGAGGATTGCTTGAGGCCAGCAGTTTGAGACCAGCCTGAGCAAGAGCGGGACCCCACATCCACGAAAAATAAAAAATTTAGCTGGGTGTCGTGGCACCTATAGTCCCAGCTACTCAAGAGGCTGAGGCAGGAGGATCGCTTGAGGCCAGGAGTTGGAGGCTGCAGTGAGCTATGATGACGCCACTGCACTCCAGCCTGGGCGACAGAGGGAGACCCTGTCTCAAATAAATAAATAAATGCAAAGAGAGCAGGAATGACAACTGTGGCAGAGAATGGCCCCATCTGACCACCTTTGATTTTCAAGGGTGTCTGCGGAGAGTGAAATCAGGGCGCTTTGCGGGGGAGGGTGTGGCGAGCTGGGGCAGCGAGGCCAGGGCCCGAGGTTTGCTCCTGGGGCTCAGGCCAGGTGAGCGGCCGCCTCCCTGCCCTGCCTTGTGTCCCTGGCGCTTGCTTACCGAGGGCCCAGCGCTTTCTGCAGGCCCTGCCGCTTGCCCGGGCTTGCGGGACGCTGCCGGCCGTCCTTGGCCTAAATGACAAAGCTGCTTTCACTTCTGAGCGGGAGCTCCCGGCTTCCCAGAAGCCTTTGGGGGGCGGGGGGGGGGGACAGTGGGGAAGAAGCCATTTTCCGAAATTGTAGGCTTTATCTTTGCTGGTCTGGTTAATGTCCCAAGTGCTTGTTTTTTTGCGTTCAGTTTTTTTGTTGTTGTTATTGTTTTTCCAGAAAGGGTCTCAGTCTGTCACCCTGGGCTGGAGTCGGTGGCACGGCCATAGCTCACTGTGGCCTGGAACACCTGGCCTCCAGCGATCCCCTGCCTCAGCCTCCCGAGTAGCTGGGACTACAGGCATGCGGCCACCATGCCCAGCCTAATTTTTGTAGTTTTGTACAGACAGGGGGTCTCGCTGTGTTGCCCAGGCTGGCCTTCAACTCTTGGCCTTAAATGACTCTCCCATCTCTGCCTCCCAGAGTGCTCGGATTGCAAGCATGAGCCGCTGCGGCCCATCTTGTGATCGACGTTTTCTTTTACTTTTTTGTGAGACAGAGTCTCACTCTGTTGCGCTGGGCTAGAGTGGCCGTGGTGTCAGCCTAGCTCACAGCAACCTCCAACTCCTGGCTCAAGCGATCCTCCTGCCTCAGCCTCCCAGTAGCTGGGACTACAGCATGCGCCACCTTGCCCGGCTAATCTTTATTATTAGTATATATATATATTTTTTTTTTTTTTTAGTTTCAGATTTCTTTTTTTTTTAGTAGAGATGGGGTCTTGCTCTTGCTCAGGCTGGTCTCAAACTCCTGAGCTCAAACGATCCTCCTGCCTCAGCCTCCAGAGTGCTAAGGATGCAGTCATGACCCACTCGCCCAGCCAGTGTTAACCTTTTTTCAGTGTCAGTGTACAAAGATTTTTCTACGACATCCCCTTCCCCAGCAGCCTGTATTAGACTGTACAGCCTGCCGGCCAAATGTGCCCACCACTTGATTGTGTAAATAAATTTATTGGCACACATGACACCCATGGGTATATACGGTCTGTGGCTGTTCCACACTATAGCAGAGCCGATGGGGAGATGGTACAGCCGCAAAACTGAAAGCGTCTACTGTCTGCCTGAACAGGAAAAGTTTGCCCCTAGATCACATGTGTTCTTCCAGAATTATGTATGTGATAGAAAACAACTGACTTCCCCAAAGGAAGCTTGATCTTCTCTCTTTTT